CAGGTAATAGAATGCAATCTGTAATTGTATTCCGTATGGAGTGGGGGGACAGTATCTCTGGAGGTTGGACACGTTGTACACCTAGATTGTTTTTCAGCACAACCTCTGATCACAGTCTCCTTCAATCCATATATTTTCTTGGAACGTAAACCAAATAGATATATGGAATATCCTGTTGCAGTGTCTCAGCAGAGGGTGCAGGTAGGAACTGGTGCAGAAAAAAAACCATTCTACTAAAAATCTCTAAAAAAGAAATTGGTGTTCTAATTTTAAAACTGAAATACCAGGTTTGCATTGACTTAGTTGTGAAAGTGAAACTTTAGTTTCGGGTACATTTGTATAATTGCAGAACAGACCCAAAGACTCTGTTTTGTAAATATAACAAAAAGACATATACCCTGGAATTTATAAAGTGCTGTAGACAAATATCCATGCCTGCGACAATTTGATAATTTTTTTTGCATGGTGAGGGTGCAGCCCTGAGGTCATAGTGTCCATCCCTAGTGCAGACTCAGACCCCACTGTTGAGCTACCCCCCCCCCAGAAGCTGAATGATGGTAAGGTGAGTCACCGGCTGGTACAAACCCGGTGGCCGCTGGTGTCCTAGCAACCAAAAGCCCTTTGCGGGAAACTGTCATATTGTCATGATAGCCTCCCAAGCATTAAATACCACTATTCCCAATGCAATGGCCGTGAATGTAAATGGGTGGTGCAGTGACCTCCAGCAGGAAATCGAAGAAATTCAAAGTGAAATATGTCACCAGCAAACCACGGATTTCCAGAGCGGGTCCAAAGCTTTATTCTGCAATCACATCATAAAAACCAAAGCAATGTTTCGGAGCCTTGCAGGACCACTTCATCAGGCATGTGGCCAGGCACATCACATACCTGATCAAGTGGTCCTGCAAGGCTGGGAAATGTGGCTTCTGTTTTTATGAAATGATTGCGGAATAAAGCTTTGGGCCCGCTCTGGAAATCCATGGTTTGCTGGTGACATATTTTCACTTTGAATATCTTCGTTTCCAGATGGTGGTTGCTGCAGCATGGGGGTGTAGATCTCTTTCAGGGGGATCCTGATTTCACCATTTGTTCAATTTGGAAGGAATTGCAGCCAATGGAGATTAGCATGACAGCCAGGTTACTGAAATTGTAAAATGGGGAGGTCAAGAATGGCAGCCTTGATGCCAGTACAAACTCATTACAGATTATTACTAATATCAGTACCTATTTATATCTAATCAATGAGTTCATCAGCCGTGATGTTTAAACAAGTGCACCGTGGGAACCTGCTTACAGAACTGAGCGAATACTGTCTCATAGCAACCATAGAGATTCCAGTCCAGATTTAGCTGTTTTTTTTTCCTGATTGGCTGCAGTCAATTGTCTTTCTCAATGTATCCTTCAAATAGTTTTGTAAACAAAGCTTAGAGAATGCGTTCCCTTCTGTGCTTTTACCTTCTAACAAGCAGGTTTTTTACTAATATGTCACCTTTCATTTTGTACCGAGCTACAGAAAATGATGGTGCTATATAAATATATATCTTGAGAAACGTTTCTGTATCGTTTAGACTGACACATGCATTATAAATGAATTCCATATTGCAAACGTCCTCAGCCACATGCCTTCCGTGTGTGTGTGTGTGTGTGTGTGTGTGTGTGTGTGTGTGTGTGTGTGTGTGTGTGTGTGTGTATATATATATATGTGTGTGTGTGTGTATATATATGTATATGTGTGTGTATATGTATATACATACACATACACACAGTTGCAAGAAAAAGTATGTGAACCCCTTGGGATTATATGGAGTTTTGCATGAATTGGGCATAAAATGTGCTCTGAGTGTCATCGAAGTCACGACAATAGAAGAACACAGTCTGCTGAACATAATACTACACAAACGTTAGATGTTGCCATGGTTTAATTTCACATAACGTAAACATTCACAGTGCAGGGAGGAAAAAGTATGTGAACCTTTGGACTTAATAACTGGTTGACCCGCCTTTGGCAGCAATAACCTCACCCAAACATTTCCTGTAGTCGCAGATCAGACCTGCACAACAATCTGGAGTAATTTTGGACCACTCCTCTTCACAAAACTGTTTCAGTGTAGCAATATTCTTGGGATGTCTGGTGTGCATCGCTCTCTTAAGGTCATGCCACAGCATTTCAATCGGGTTGAGGTCAGGACTCTGACTGGGCCACTCCAGAAGGCGTATTCTGTGCTGTTGCAGCCATTGCTTTGTTGAATTACTTGTATGCTTTGGGTCATTGTCCTGTTGCATCACCCATCCTCTGCGGAGCTTCAGTTGGCGGACAGATGGTTGTACGTTTTCCTGCAAAATGTCTTGATAAACTCTGGAATTCATTTTCCCATCAATGACAACAATCCGTCCAGGTCCTGAGACAGCACAGCAGCCCCAAACCATGATGCTCCCTCCGCCATGTTTTACAGTGGGGATGAGGTTTTAATGTTGGTGTGCTGTGCCTTTTTTTCTCCACACATAGTGTTGTGTGTTCTTCCCAAACAACTTAATCTTGGTTTCATCTGTCCACAGTATATTTTGCCAGTAGTGCTGTGGAACATTCAGGTGCTCTTTGCAAACTTCAAACGTGCTGCAATATTCTTTTTGGACAGCAATGGCTTCCTCCGTGGTGTCCTCCCATGTACTCCATTCTTGTTTAATGTTTTCCTTATTGTAGATGTGGTAACAAAAATGTTAGCATGTGCCAGAGATTTCTGTAGGTCTTTAGCTGACACTCTGGGATTCTTCTTTACCTCATGCAGCATTCTGCGCTGTGCTCTTGCAGTCATTTTTACAGGACGACCACGCCTAGGGAGAGTAGCAACAGTGCTAAACTTCTCCATTTGTAGACAGTCTGTCTTACCGTGGACACATGAACATCAAGGCTTTTGGAGATACTTTTGTAACCCTTTCCAGCTTCATGCAAGTCAGCAATTCTTGACTGTAGGTCTTCTGAGAGCTCTTTTCTGCGAGGCATGGTTCACATCAGACAGTGCTTCTTGAAACCAGTAAACTCAAAACAGGTGTGTGTTTTTTAAGGGCAGGACAGCTGTCAGCAACACATCCAATATCATCACACTGATTGGAGTCAAGGTTGGCTCACTCCTGGCTCCAAATAAGTCTGGGAGAAGTCATTAAGCTAGGGCCTCACATACTTTTTCCTCCCTGCACTGTGAATGTTTACATGTTATGTGCAATTAAACCATGGCAACAAGTAATGTTTGTGTAGTATTATGTTCAGCAGACTGTGTTCTTCTATTGTTGTGACTTAGATGACGTTCAGAGCACATTTTATGCCCAATTCATGCAAAACTCCACGTAATCCCAAGGGGTTCACATACTTTTTCTTGCAAGTGTGTGTGTGTGTGTGTGTGTGTGTGTGTATGTATGTGTGTATATGTATATATATGTGTATGTATGTGTATATATATATATATATATATATATATGTGTGTATGTATATATATATATATATATATATATATATATATAATATATATATATATATATATATTAAATCTCAAAGTCCTATGGCACTGCAACTTCATGCACAGATGTCTATGCAACTTGCACATCAGAGTCGCTCCGATGCAAACAGTTTCATTGCCTATCATTGGATGCGATTTGTCATGTGTGTTGAATGGCCAAATCGCATGACAATTTGCATCAGTGTGAACCAGGCCTTAAAATTAATTTGAAATGAATTCCCCATTTATTTTTATAAAGCAATGAATTAAAAATGATTTGACACACTGTATGCTTAGTATGAGTTTCCAAAAACAAGTATTTGTTACACTGAATTAACTATAATCAGTTTATTCCTTCCAGTATGTCGTTTTACTAGAATTTCCATGTCATTCAGATTAACGCTGAGCAGTAACTGTGCTTGTTTGGTGAACCTTTATTTTTGTGTGCATGAAATGGGACAGCCCCTTGACCTCACATCTGTCAGCAGATAAACTGGTATTTTTCACCAGGGGATTTCTAATATGCTTTGAGAGTGAAACCTCCTTTTTTTTTTTTTTTTTTTTTTTTTTTTTTTTTTTTAATGTTTTTAGTGAGTTTTATGTTTAATCAGCACTGTATAGTCAAATAGATTTTCAGAATGTTAAGTTTATGTGTGCTTCGAAATACAAACACTTGTGCATACCTACTTTTGCATAGAAAACCAGGCTAATACTTCCATCTGCATGTACATTGTAACATGCACTTGTAGATGCAGAGATTCTGGTCACTACTGCTACAGCAATGACAAAAAAAACAGTCATGTTGGAATTTTGTTTAGTATAAGTGAATGATTTTCGAAACATGAGTAACGCATTCGATCAAGAATAATACGATAACTCGTACTGCGCATGAGTACAAGCATTTATTCTGCATTCAATGGACAAAAGATTTCAGATTTTTACAAGTGGGGAGGGGGGGGGGGGGAATTATATCAATGATGGCGTTATTACACACTTGTCTTTATCAAATGCGAACACATTTTCAAATGATTTTCTATTCCAATATAAGTTATATAGATATATTAAAGTTTTTTTGATAGACAAGGTGCATAACAAGAACTGGTCATCGGTTCCAACCTGCTTCTTGCTGACAACAGTTGCAGTCGCTAGACAGTCTTGTGGCATGTGGTTAAAGGTTCTTGTCACTGAAACTTGACATTTTAGTCAACTAGGATGTACGTCATTCCAGTTTTTCCAAAATGAATGCTTGAAGAAAAGATAATGTTCTTTGGCTTGACAAAACTACTTTTCCAATATTTACAAGATATTTCTTTTTTTGATTACTAAACCAGGCACAATTCATGGAATTTTAGAACTCCACATCCTTCAACGGTTAAACATAACGCGTTGTAACCGCACATACGATAAACTTTTATATTCTGCTATGTATCTTTATGGAGTTTCACTGCCCGCACGTAAAGTGGTACTAACCCCATGACCCTGCATTCACTATATCTTGTCTCCCACAGTACACAGAGCATGAAAATTATTTTTAGTAAATATAAACTGCTAAACACCTTTTCTCATCAGCAGTTAGAGCAGTCTTGTGACTTCTGTCAGTGTCCAGCAGAGCATTGGTTAGGAGGCTCCTTGTAGGAGGAGTTTTCATTCTACCCTGATTGTCCTGTGAAGCGGCATAACCCCTGACCCTCTGTCTGGACAGCACTGTCCAAAAAAAAACCCCCAAAACTCACAGCAATACACACAAAACTGAGTATGTACAACTTGCCCCCAAGGCTCTGTTCTATCAGTGGATTGATTGGGGACAGTAGAAGGAGAGGATCAGAGAAGACAGGATCAAACATCCTTTTTACACAATGCAGAGGATTAACCCGTTAGGTTCCACATTGAGTATAACAAGCATACTTTACTGCATATACAGACTGATTTTACTGTTGTGGGTTTAGTAACACTTTAAAGCAGAGGTCCAGTCGGAAATAAAAAAAAAAAAAAAAAAAAAAGTCAGCAGCTATAAAAACTGTAGCTGCTGACTTTTAAAAAGACAGACACTCACCTGTCGTAGTACCGCACTATCCTCACACTGGCCCGGTTGAGCGTTTATCCTGTCTTAGCGCTGGAATCTTCAGTGTGGGCACCTTGCTGACAGCTTGGGACAGCCGGGTGCCCCACTGCGCATGCACGAGTAGCTCTGAGCTTTGTGAATGGTCCCGTATACCTGTCATGTGTCCCAGAAGATTACGGTGAGGACAACTTCCGCTTCTGATTGCCTAGCGATCACAGTGGAAGTGGGAGCGGGTACTTGTCAAATTCGGGTACCCCCCGGTCCCCAAAGGTGCCTATCCTTACCAGGAAGCGGGAGACAAAGCCTTAAAGCAGAAATTCCCCTTTTGGGTAGACCTCAGCTTTAAGTGCTAGCCATGTTGTTTTCAACCTGGTACTTAAAAAAAAAAAAAAAAAAAGCAAAAAACGTATTTCCTGCAACGCAATGTCATAATGTGCTAGTATGCATCGCATACTAGCACATTATGTGAAATTACCTTAAAAAAAAAAATCCTCCAGTGGCACGCTGTCACCGCTGATAGGGCTTCCGGATATATGTGATCAGACACCATAGGAAGCAATGATATTTCACATGTCATTCGGATTGGATGCAGTTCAAACCACATTTAATCCGCATATATTGTGAACGGGCACTTAAGCCACTCATCTAGTGTTGCCAATGGGCTTATGTCCGCTCTGAACTGGCCTTTCAAGCCCTCACATGGCTGGAGTCACAGCTGGTGATATGTACAACACAATGGGAACTGTAGATCTGAATAGAGGCAAGATGGCACCCTCCTCAGAGGGGAGGAAGGTTTAGTTCAGCTTTACCTTGACTCTATCAGAACATCTGAGTAAAGTAATACTATAAGAAATCAGTATATAGGTGTTGGAGGAGATTAAACTGTCTAAAGCAGCCTTTCTCAAGCTTTTCAACACAGAGGAACCCTTGAAATACATTTCCAGTCTCAGGGAACCCCTGCTAAAAATGACTATATCTACAACTCATGATACATTAGTATGATGGTCCGTGGGCAGAATGCTCCTTACACTTGTGGTCATTAGGAAGAATTACCCCTTTTACAGATCGCTAAAAAAAATCAATGATGTCAGTGGGAACTTATCTGAGATGAAGAAATTGCTTAAGTAACCCCTAGCAACTTCTGGTGGAACCCAAGGGTTCCATGGAACCATGGATGAGAAACCCTGGTCTAAAGCAAGCCTGTGCTTCACTCATTTAGCCCGGTTTCACACCATTGCGGTGCGGGAAACGCTGCAAATCCTGTGCGTATACTGCACCGCATTGCAGTCGCTTCCTGTGCATGCAGTCTGGTGCGGGTGTAAGCGATAAGTTAATGACACTCCAAAACAGATCGCAAAACGTGATGCAATTTCCAGAAATTGCATCACATGGGTGAGAACACCCATGCAATGTGATTCAGGTGCGGATCTAAAAAAGGGCCCTGCACCTTTTTGGTGCGAATGTGATGCAGACCTTAGCGTATAATTCGTACAGGAATTTGGTGCGATTCCTGTGTGAAGTACATGCGATGTCCTGCTCTGCATAGTGTGAACCCGGGCTTAAAGCAGAGCAGCAGATTTGCTTAGGGGTCCATGCACACTGGCTTAAAAAAACACTGCTTCTAGAGGAGTTTAGCGTTTTGTCTGTTGAAGCAGTTAATGCTACCCTATGTGTACATAGAAGCATATTTCAAGCTCCGCGTTCAGAGGCAGAAAAATCCTTCTGTTTTGCGTTTTTTTGAGAGCAGTTTTTTGCAAGGAAAAAGAACAAAAACAAACGTGCCTAAATATGCCTAAATGGTACTAGGAAAAAAAAAACGCTCAAAATTTGTGGGGTTTGTTTTTTTCTGCCATCAACACCGGCGTTTTTTTTTTTTTCCCAGCCAGTTTTCATGGACCCTAATAGGTAAATTATGCTTTCAAAGATAGTAGTACACTTTCACCAGCAGCAAGATGGCCTTCTTCCTACTAGTAATTCCTGCTATTTACAAATGCCATACAAGTAGGAATGAAGCCCTACCAAATAACTAGATGAGAAGGGCGTTTTTCACTTTTTGCTTTTAGCAGAAAACATTTTTCATTTTGTTGGATTATGTACTTGGTTAATGTGCATACAAACACTTCACTTACATGGAATGAGAAGATAAAATTAGACTACCCAAGCTACCATAACAACTTTGTAAATAAACAAACCAAGAGAGTTCTAGGTAAATATGTTAGGTCCGCAGCTCAGTGGAAGTATGCGACGATAAAAAACATGCAAGATACTTATTAAACTGCTAACATTTTCATGGCAAATTGTCAGCTGAAGTCAGAGATGACATAAAAAAGCAGTACAGATTAATGTTAGAAAAACAGACCTTTTAAAATGAACATGAAATTGTTGGTATGTATCACGTGTTTTTTTTTTTTTTAATCAAATTGTTATGGCAACACAATCCCCTATGACGTACGTATATTAAAGTGACACTAAACTCTGGTTTAAAAAAAATATATGCTGAACTCAAAAATATAGCCTCCTCCAAATTTTTTATTTCTGCTATGATCCAGTTTCCTTAGAGGGAGGCTATGTTTGTTTTCTATGGTCCCATTGTATGTAGGAACGTAGTCACCCTCTCTTGCTCGCTTCTGAGATAGACTAGGGATCATAGACTATGGGATTTGTAGTGTTCTTAGAACAATGCTCACAACTGACAACAACTAACATACACTGCTTGTTCCAAACAAATGGATCTGGGGGTAGAGGTTGGAGTGCTCATTGATGACGTTACAAGGATGAAGAGAAACACAGTAAGAAACTATTTTATTAACCACTTTCCATCCGCCTTTTAGCAGATTTACTGCTACAGAGCAGACTTTCTGTGCAAAATCGTGTATATATAAATGGATGAGTGCCAGTACCTGTTGATCGCTGAGGAGACTGACAGAACACAGCTCTGCCTATGTAAACAAGGCAGAGCTGTGTTCTGTCAGCGGCGATCTCCTAGATTTTATTCAAGGAATAAAATCTAGCAGATTGCCTAGTAAAAACAGCGCACACACAGTACACATAAACACTGGATAGGCACACAATTAACCCCTTGATCACCTTAGATGTTTAATCCCTTCCCTGCCATTGTCATTGCTACAGTGTACAGTATATTTTTAGCACTGATCACTTTATTAGTGTCCCTGGTTCCCACAAAGTGTCAGTTAGTGTCAGACTGTCTGCTGCAATATCACAATCCCACTATAAGTCGCTGCCATTACTATTATTAAAAAAAAAAACAAATTCCAGTGTATATATACCACTATTTGTAAATGCTATAACTTTTTTTGCACAAACCATTCAATATACACTTATTGTTGTGTTTTTTGTTTTTTTACCAAAAATGTGTAGCAGAATACATACTGGCCTAAATTTATGAAGAAATTCTATTTTTTTTTTTTTTTTTTGGATATGTTTTATAACAGAAAGTAAAAACATTTTATTTTTTGTAAAACATGGAGGTGATCAAATACCACCAAACGAAAGCTCTATTTTTGGGGGAAAAAAAATTACAAATGTCATTTATGTACAGCGTTGCATGACCGCACAATTGTCAGTTATAGTAATGTCTAAAAATGGCCTAGTCATTAAGAGGGCTGAATCTTCTGGACGATAAGAGGGTGATTGCACTGGTTGTGTCTGGATTACTTTTGGAGAATAAGGATATTTAACGTCACTTTAACTTTTACTTGTCTTTCGTAACGTAAGTAAAAAACATATCATTATTATTATTTTGATTCTGGGTTTATTTAATGCCAAGAGTTTGTGCAGCAATTTGCAAACTAAAGGGAGACAGTACAGTCACTGGACATGTATAGATTATTTATAGAGTATAAGGATAATGTTTAGTGTCACTTTAAGTTTCACTTGTTTTTGGTAGCTTAAATAAAAATCATGTATAATTACATATTTACATACTTAGTCTGGCTGAAAAAAGACAAAAGTCCATCCGTTCAACCATTAAAAAAAAAAAAAAAAAAAAAATGTAATAATTGTATTATTTAATTCTGGGTATATGTAAAGCCAACAGTTTGTGCTGTTTCCCTTAAGATTGTAAATAGCTTCACAGTCACTGGACGTGTATGGGATATTTATGGAGAATAAGTATATTCTTTAGTGTCATTTTAACTTTCACTTGCCTTTGGTAAGTTAAGTAAAAAACATGCATCTTTGGTATTCTTTTAATTCTGGGTGTATATAACGGCAAGAGTTTATGCAGTTATTTACAAACTAAAGGGAGACAGTACAGTCACTGGACGTGTATGGATTATTTTATGGAGAATCAGGATATTGTTTAGTATCACTTTTACTGGTCTTTGGTAACCTAATTAACAAACTTGTACAGTATCACTGTTTTAATTCTGGGTTTATAGAATGCCAACAATTTGTGCAGCGATATACAAAATAGAGATTGTACAGTCACATACTAATTCAATACAAGAGGATTAGGAGTGCCATGCTCATAAGAGTTTTTTAATTGATAAGTAAGGGGCCTCTCGAATTGCCTGTCCCTGAAATACTTTTCTTTTATATAAAATTCATTACAGAAGCAGGTTGCATTGTACACTCCAGGATTTGTATGAATTTGTAAAGTATTGGTAACCAACGTGTAGCTCTTTTGGTACCTAGCACCTTTTACACTTGAAGAAATGTATGTGCCTTGACGAAGAGTGCCTGTTGCAACATCAACTACAAGGGGAAGGCAAAGAGGAAGCATGTCGATTTAAATCGGGTGCCCAAGAGTTTCTAGTTCTACGGGCTTCAGAACCAATTTGGAGACACCATTTAG